GGGAAATAAACATGCGGGTATGATAATGCCCCACGCTATCGCCCCCCCCCCCCGTCTCCCCTCTCTTCTCAGAGCCCCTCCCCCCAGCTGATAATGTCCATGCAGGCCAGGCTGCTGCAGAGGCGGCTCTGGCCACACAGGGCACTGGAGAAGCGGGAGCGGGCAAGGCTGGTGAAGCCATCTGGCATACGCATGATGCTGTATCTCCACTCTCAGCAACAGGTTTCTGAAGCAGCTTGTATTCTGCTCTGTAGCCTCCACCCCAGGAAGACAAAGGGGTGCTGGGTGCAGCACTCCCTCTTGCAAACACTAGGCTATTGTTAGGACCAAAGACAGTTCCCAGCGTTCAGGTTGCCAGGGGCTACTGCTTGTTGCCCCTTTGACGCTGGATGAGCCCAAAGGTTCGCCTCAGGCCCCCCTGGAACCACAGCAGCAGCAGCAGCAGCAGCAGCTCTGAAGGGCGAAAGCCAGTTGTGGGTGGCAGGGCCCATTATGTACGCTGTTCCCCCTGGCGGGCAAGAGGGAGAGCAAAGCAGGAGCCTAAGTGTGCAGAGGAGGCCTGGGGCATGCCAGTGTGCCGCCAGGAGCCGCAGAAATCAGCAGCACGCAAAGGACCATCCACCTTCAGCTGAGCGCCGAGGCTGGGGTAAAACAAGAGCCCACGGCCGCCACCTGATACCACTTTGCTTGGGACCTCAAAACGGGCGCACAGAAGCCCAAGGGAAGGGATAGCAAATCTGTCTGCAGCCTTGCAAATTTACCCACCGGAAGCTCCTCCCACTGCCCAGCTTCCGGCACGGTGGAAGGTACCTAGCTAGACCCCGATGTTGAACCTGCAGCTTCCAGATAAGACCTTTCGTGTTTTCGAGTGGGGAAAAGCGGCGTTCGCTTTGCCTCCTCCACACGCTACTGTAATCTGTTCCTCCACGTGGTTCTTGTTACAGGTGGAAAGAGGAAGTGGTCCTTTTGATGAGGCTGCTGACCTATCTGCAACAAGGTGAGAAACGCTTCAGGCTAGAAGAGATGAGGCTGTCAGGGTTAGGACAGGGCAAAAAAAGTGAGCGGAAATACGTTCACAAGCACACAGATAGGAAAAAATGACTTCCCAGTGTCGCAGGAGCTGGGCGGTGCATTCAGTTTGTATTGTAACCAACCATGGAATAAACTCTTGCACACAACACATCACAAACTGATGGGATTCACTGCTACATGACACAGTCTGCACGCTCACTGCCTTTGTCTCCTAACTCAAAGCATCTTTTTTTTAAGCACTGGAAATAAAATGCATCATCAGAACAGCCCTCAAGCCAGCCATGCGCATAGTATGTCTTTCTGACAGAGCCACGCCTGCTGAGCAAGTTCAGAGCGCAGGAGAAAGACCTGGGAGTCCTTGCAACGCCTCACGCCCTTTGGGCCTCCAGGGCAACGACTTCCACCACAGCGTGCGCAGCTGTCGCTAAAGGGCAAGGGGAGGCCCATCTTGGGAGAGTCCCGGGCCTCTTCAGGCAGGACTTCCAGATACCACAGACAAACCAAGACGGCGCTCTGCTGCGCAAGACCGGCTTTGCCACCACCCGTCCCACTGGCTGGACCTCACGGTTGCGGAGGAAGGATTCTTCGTTTTTGTCTTTGTTTCTGAACAGGTGTCTGGAAACAAAGCAGTGGTGCTGAAAATAAGTCCACGCTCTCAGCTTGTCATCCAATCTTTCTTTGGAAGGGCTGGGTGCATATTTGTGTTTGAGCTGTTTCAGCAAAGAGTCTTTCAAATAACAAAACTCTCAGGATGAAGATGCTGGTACCAGGTGCGGAGTGGGTCCTCCGAGCAAGGAAGCTGAGAGGACGGGTACAGGGAGGGGGCGGTGGAAACCCTTGGAAGGGTAGCTAAAAGGGGCTGAGAAGGGTAAGCATTTGGCTACATTCCTGTTTTTCCCTCCCGAAAGTGAAAAGACACCCAAACATGGGAGTCAGCCGCTAATCAGGAAGCCCCCAGGAGGAAAGAGACCTGAAAGAGGACGACAAGCTACGGACCAGTAGGGGTGCGGGTTTCTGCTTTTCCAGTGTGGGAAGGAAGAGTGTGTGCGTGAGAATAGGCACTGACCGGAGTCAACGCAGGACAGCGTCGCACCACGTGCTCTGCAGGGCAAGGCGGCACTCCTTCCCCCCATCCTCCCTGACACCACAAAGCTCATGTGTGTTGCCAAGCAACAGGCTAGAGAAGCACCACTCCCCCAGCCGTGCCCCCTCCTCTTTCCTGGCCATGCTGCACACGTGTGCTCCCGGTGGTCCGTGGGAGCCAGCTCCCCCTGCCCACCCTGTGAGCCCCCCACCCGGCCCCCCAAGGGGGTCACGCACACCGAAGGGGCCCTGAGCAGGTAACGCCTCATTTGCTCACTATGCAGACCCGACCCCAGGGCGAGAAAGCAAGTCCCACACCATGCCAGAAAGGGACTGACAGCCATTCTCAGAAAGCCTTTATGTGGATCTGCAAGAGCCTGTGCGTAAGGCAGGCTATTTTGGCGTCCAAGCGGGGCAGCCGGGGGAGGCCACAGATGTCTTCCGCTCCCCTTCCCAAAGCGCAGGGGACGTGCTGGACGAGCAGCTGCTCTGAAACCTCCTCGCAGAGACAGTCCACGCTCGATGCCGCTGCACCAGGAGAAAGAGCAAAGCTGGCTTCTGGGCGGCTGCCGACCAGCGGGGCTCTGTCTTCCCTCTGCCTCGGGGCAGGCCGTGCCAGCCGCTCCCTCTGTCCTCCACCGCCCTCCTCGGCGGCTGCTTCACCAGGCAAGCAGAGGGCGCCTGGCACCTGCTGAGTCACGTCAAGCCAGAAACCCCGGTGCGCTTGCTCGGGCAGATTGCCTGGCAGCTCCCAGCACCGAGGAGAAGGCGCTTCCTCTCTTCCCCTCGCCCCGTGTTACATCTGGATTTTTTCAGCAGCAGCCATTCCTTGCGTCACCCAGCTTCGCCGCTCACGGGCCAGAAGCTCCTGGCCGGTCTCCCGCGTTTGCTTTTATTGGGCCTAGGAGAGGCTGGGTTGAGGACGAAGAGAAGCCCTGGAGCAAGGATAAGAGGCTTCTCGTGCTGCTGGCCTGCGAGGGGAGAGCCTAGGCCAGAGGGCTTGCTGCCGCCGAGGCTCTCCAATTCGCTGGCACCCTGCACCCGGGCCAAATGATGCATCCTCTTCTGTTTGTTTCCTCAAGGAAGGAACACCAGGGTCCTCTGAAAGCCTGGGATGCTCTGCCGCCAAAGTGCTCGCCCCATTGAGCACCCTGCTGGTTGGTCCCTCCTTCTGCTGCCCCAGAGCTGGGATAACCCCTGCCCAGCCTCGGGTCATCCGGTGCTCGCAGCCAGGGCACTAAGGAGAAGAGCAGCCATCCTGCAGGCCCATTTTCTTTTCTCCTGCTCATTTCCCCAGGCGCTCGGACCATCTTGGACCCCCAGAGGCGTCTCCAGCAGCCCCCGCAAACGCCACAGTCCTCTCCTTTTTGTAAGCTTCCTTCCCAAGAAGCCCAGTTCTTCCTGGCGGGGTTGGAGGAGTGGGAAGCATGCCACGGCAGCGCTCAGCTCACCAGAAGGCCACGGGAAGGCCGGCAAAGGAGTTCGGGCCCCTTCCTTGGTTAGTGGGCTGGGGGCCTCCAACCTCACTCAGCCCCTCCTCAGGGCAACAGGCGAGCCGAGCCAGGCCAGCGCGAGTCCTATTTGTCTAGGATGAGGAACAGCAGCAGCAGCAAAATGATGGGCAGGAAGACGAGCAGGAGGCTCAGCATCTCCGCGGCAGCCAGCGCCAACAGAGCCGCCCGGTAGCACCGGTGGTGATGGCGCTCCAGCCGAGCCAGGCCATCGATGAGGCAGGCTGGGTAGCGGAGGCAGGGGAAGAAGCCCATCACGCGGCTGGTGCGAAAGCGGACCCGGAAGCGGTGCTCCAAGCCCCCCCAGAATCCCGGCTGCCGGGGCGGCAGCGGGCTCAAGGCCACTGGCACCGAGGCAGGGCCCTGGGCGGAGCTCAGCAGGAGGAGCTCCTCCTGGAGCTTGCAGATCTCCCACTCCATCATGGGCGTCTTCTGGCGGCAGATGGGGCAGCGCACACGGCCGATGTCGGCAGCGCTGGCCGCCTCCAGGATGGCCTGCAGGCACTGGCCACAGAGCGCATGGCTGCAGTTGAGCAAGGCCGGCTTGCGGCGATCCTGGTCATACAGTTCCGTGCAGATGGGGCATTCCTGCTCTTCACCCTCGGCCTGGATGCAACAGGACTGCGCCAAAGCCCCGTGAGCACCTCTGCCCACGCCCAGGGCTTTGCTCCCCAGCAGGCACACTTGTTCCATCCCTCCCACCTCCTCCGCCAAAGGGAGCTCGGGTCTGCCTCCGGACCTGCAGGCAC